GCGCTCACCCCACTGCTCCCGGGATGACTAAATCAAGCAACAAAACTACGGTGACCGGGTGATGAGAGCTGCCGGGGAAGCAAAGCAGAGGAGGAGCCTGGCACGGCGAGGGATCGCTCGGCGCGTCCCCCTGCAGACAGGGCCCAAGGGCTGGGATCTGGGCGCGGAGAGGTGTGCGGTCACTGCCTGGCAGAGCCAGGGCTCCCCTTCACACCGGACCTCCACGCACGCGGCCCCAGGCTGTCTGCAGGGGAGCCTGGAGGGGGGGGGGACGGCAGGGGGCTCTACTACGTGCTAGCCTGCTGCCCGCCTTCATTTCTTGACCTTGCCCTGAGCAGCGACGGCCTCCATGGCCTTGCGCACCGTCTCCTCATCCCCCAGGAACTGCATGGGCTTGATGGGTTTCAGGTTCTTGTCCAGCTCGTAGACGATAGGGATGCCGGTGGGCAGGTTCAGCTCCATGATGGCCTCTTCCGACATGCCTGCGAACACAGAGGCACCGTCACTTGTGGCCCTGCTCGCACAGTGCCAGCCGGGGCAAGCGGGGAGACCCCCGCGATAGCCCCGCAGGGCTGACGTACCTTCCAGGTGCTTGACAATCCCACGCAGGCTGTTGCCGTGGGCAGCAATAAGGACTCGCTTTCCCTCTTTGATCTGCGGGACGATTTCCTCATTCCAGAAAGGCAGAGCCCGGGCGATGGTGTCCTTCAGGCTCTCGCACGTTGGCAGCTGGTCCTCTGTCAGGTCAGCGTAGCGACGGTCCTGGGGGAACGGCCACGCTCACGCAGCAGCCCAACACAGTGTGGGAAGGCCTTCATATCCCCCCCCCCCCCCAGTGCTCTGCCTGGGGACCTGCTACATGTAGGCAAAGCCAGGCCTGGAAGCAAGGAAGTGCCTTTGAGGTTTGAGGCTGCGCTCAGCCAGGGTCAGGGCTCTGAGCCCCTCCTGGGGAAAGCCGCACATCGCTTGCTCTGAGCAAAGAGACCAGAGCAAACATCCATTCACAGGTCACAGGACTAATGATTAACAGAGGTATCATCCCCTCCGCTTTGAATCTGTCCGTACAATGCCCAGGGGTTCAACTCCCCAGGGAGGGAGCGGGACAAACTCAGCCCAACACCAGCCGGCACCACGCACGACAGTCCTGGCTGCTGCAACAGAGGCAGAGGAGACCTTGCGGAAGAAGCCAGACCACGTCACAGGGACCTAACGTGGCTTTTAGGAGCCTCCTGGCCAGGAGGACAGAGAGCAACGGGTCTTACCTTGCTGATGCTGCTGTAGAAGGGGTGATCGGACTGCATGGGAGGCGGAGGGATGTCGTACGAGCGCCTCCAGATCTTCACCTGCGCCTCGCCGTGCTTCGCCGCCGTCTCAGCCTTGTTCAAACCGGTGAGGGCCCCGTAATGCCTCTCGTTCAGGCGCCAGGTTCGGATAACGGGTAACCACATCTGATCGATGGCATCCAGGACGGTCCAGAGGGTACGGATGGCCCGTTTCTGTACCGAGGTGAAGCAAATGTCGAACTCGT